TAAAATTCAAGAACAGCATGTAAAGCTTTGTGTTAGAACACTGAGCACAATGAACTAAAATCGTCTGCCTTTATCAAAGCAAGCTGCAAGTGAGGAGTGGATCACTCTATGAATACTTGGTACCCCCAATGTAGGATGCACGAATTTTAATTGGACTTATCTCAAAGCTGGGGTACTAGTTGGGTAAGGTGATGTTTTGAAAGAAAAGGGATTTTGAACTATGAATGATGTCTAGGAAAGGGATTTAGGACTCATTACAGAGTCCCTTAATGGAGTATAATTGAGGAATTTAAAAAAAAAAGCAGGCATGAGATTCAAGTCACAAAGTATGAGGATTGTGGGGCTTGGCTTGGCTTCAGTGAGGAAACCTGCCTGTCATAGTACCAAAATTTTAAAAAGTCTTAGTGGCCATCTTCCTAAAACAGATGATATATCTGTTTGATGCAACTCAGGTTACCAGCAGGAATGACAGTACAGTAAGGTCCATGCAGGCTTCTCAAAATTGCTGAAACTTAAATGGGGTCAAGTACTGCATTTTGCCATTTATTATTTTTATTTTTATTTTTTTTTGAGACAGAGCCTCAAGCTATTGCCCTGGGGAGAGTGCCGTGGTATCACAGCTTACAGCAACCTCCAACTCCTGGGCTTAAGCAATTCTCTTGCCTCAGCCTCCCAAGTAGCTGGGACTATAGGCACCCGCCAGAATGCCCGGCTATTTTTTGCTTATAGTTGTTTGGCAGGCCCTGGGCTGGATTCAAACCCGCCAGCTCTGGTGTATGTGGCTGGCACCTTAGCGGCTTGAGCTACAGGCGCCAAGCTGCATTTTGCCATTTATAATGTGCACTTTTTTGCCCAAACTTTTGAGGGAAAAATAGGATGTGGATTATACATGGATGGTACTAATTCAGTATCTGTACATTTTTAATGCTTTTGTTTATGCTTATGCATTAGAAGTGTAACTATGGAAAATAATAAAGATATCTGTATGCAAAATAACACCCTGGAATACGGTAATTGGTTTTGTTGAACTTCCACAGACTTGCAATGAAAACATTTTTGGCTAATGAAAAGTGATGTATTTCTCTTCATATGCTTTAGGCAGAAGATAGCAATCTAGCTGACATTTTTTGTTTCACAAAATTTCTTATACCATAATTTGTTAAATAAATGCTAAAATTCTTTAATAACACAAAAAACAAGTACCTAAATATAAATGTATTAAAATTTGAATAAATTAAAATGATTTTTTTCCTGGAAATTTGGGCCAAAAATATGGGTGTGTATTGTACACGGGAGCACATTATACACTTAAAAATATGGTCATTCCATTTTGTATTTTTCATTTGGTTCTTCTAATTTTTATAATTAGTTGGATTAGCAAATAATGTTCACCCTGTTGCCAGACTTCCAGAGGTCTGTCACTTCTCAGAGGGTTATATTAACACTGAACACTATAGAATGTGAATGACAAATGCTAACGATTTGTTAAAGGCTAGTACCCCTCACCTTCTATGAAATGTTAAGAAAGATGAAATCTTAAGTGTGTATTTCACAGTTTGATAAACTCTACACTAACATTCTGTATAGGTGTGTTTGTTTTTAAAGAGAAGTCTTTTCTTTTATACACAGACCATTGTGTTGATGAGTGACCTGGCTACTACTCTGGATGCACAGGGCCACTTTGATGAGGCCTACATTTATATGCAGAGGGCATCAGATCTGGCAAGACAGATAAATCATCCTGAGCTACATATGGTGCTCAGCAATCTAGCTGCAATTCTGATGCACAGAGGTAGGTACCAATGCAAACTTCACTGACTTGCTTTAGGGAGAGATGTCACTGGATTCACAATTTGTGAAATGATGTATAAGGAGGACAAGGCTGGTTGAGTAAGGGCAGAAAAAGAATGTTCATTAGGCTGAAGTACTGTTGTGTGCAGTTCGCTTCTGGAGGCCAACACTAGCTTGTTAAAGCACATCAAGCTAGAGAGAACTTTGCAGTACCTTATTTCTGTTGTATTTTACAGATTTCTCAATGTTTTCACAATTATACTGTATTTCTCACAGGATGCTGGTGGAGCTGATGTGACAGGGAGTATCGGTCTGACAGACGTTTCTGAGTGTCTGCACACCATGCAGTACTGCGCAGGGCTTTACCCATTATTTCCGGGTCTGTTAACTCAGACCACCATTAGTGGAGGTGGAGTCGTTGGCTAGTCAAGGGCCTTCAGGTATACTAGCAAGGACAGTTGGGAGCCCCGCAGTGCTCAGGGGGTTGGCATTCTGCACCTCAGCCAGTGCCAGCCTTTCTGCATCAGCTTATCAAAATGATAACATGAAGCTGCACGGCTCGGTGCCTATAGCTCAGCAGCTTGGGTGCCAGCCATATACACAGGAGCTGGCGGGTTCACATCCACCCCGTGCCTGCCAAACAGTGACAACTACCCAAAAAATAGCCGGGTGTTGTGGTGGGCGCCTGTAGTCCTAGCTACTTGGGAGGCTGAGGTAAGAGAATCGCTTGAGTCCAAGAGTTTGAGGTTGCTGTGAGTTGTGACGCCACGGCCACGGCACTCTACCCAGGGCAGGGCGACAGCTTGAGACTGTGTCTCAAAAAAAAAAAAAAAAAAAAAGAAGCAGCACATGTAAGTTAGACCTGTATCCTCATTAGTGTTTTCTCTTCAGAACTACTTTGAAAACATACATTTTCTTCTTGTCCCTTCTCTCTGGGTTATTTAGAACGATATACACAAGCGAAAGAGATCTACCAGGAAGCACTGAAGCAAGCACAGCTGAAAAGAGATGAGATTTCTGTACAGCACATCAGGGAAGAGTTGGCTGAGCTGTCAAGAAAAAGTACACCTTTGACTTAATTTTATCAAGCTCTAAATCTATTCTTGTAGGAAGAATAATTTCTAGTAACCCAGGTGAATAGCTATTATCCTAGTCTTTGTGGCACCCAAATCAATGGCTGAAATCCTTCGTTCTTGATATTCAGGTTTCCTCCACTTACCCTTGGTGAAGGACAAGTTGCACACACTGCCATTTCTGTCGTTTAAAGGGAAACAACTTTTTCAGTCCTGATTGTGACTTTTATGGACAGCTATCAAGTGATACTTTCAACTGCAACGTATGATTAGGTGCTGTCCCTGCTGATCTAAGTATAATACAAGAAAGGCTGGTTTTTCTCTGGGGTGTAGGTGGGGTCTTTCAGACTGGCATTTCTGCTGATTGGTCCACTGATTTTGCTGCCCTTGCTGCTCTTACTCTATCAGTATCTGGCAGACAGACCAGAGCTACCTGTCTCATGGTAAAGGGGGATTATGGTGAGTTGGTTTTTATTTATAATCTACTTCATGAACCACAGTATGAACTTTAATGCATAAAGGAAGACAAATAGTATCTAAGTTTGCCACCAGCATCCAGCTGGAGTGTTGAAGTGGGAGTTAGGCAGTTCAAGGGATAGCACCCATTTGATTAGAAAAGAATCACATGTATCTGGTTACGTACATAAAAAAAGAGAGTCGGAGAAGGAATGACATAACGTCTTGCTTATCAGTGTTACCTGAGCATTTGACTTCCTTTGCAACCTTGGTCACACAGCTGAGTCATCTCAAGAACTGTTTATACAGGCTGCACTCTAGACCTGCTGACTCAGAATGGGTTATCTGTAAATGTAGTCTTTAAAAACACCCAGTGATTCTGATGTGTACCACCAGCATAGTAGAACTGTTGACCTCTGTCCTAGTCATGGCTTTTTGAGTCAGGACTTAAATATCCTCATCTGTAAAATGAGATTCATTCTTAGCCATAGGAAAAGGTATTTGGTCAGATGACTTTAAAAGACTAGATTGCTTATGCTGATGAAAGAGCTGTATCACACTGCCTCAAACGCAGGTGGACAGTCTTACCTCAGCAGTCTTATGAATGACTAGTTTCTCCAGGTACCATGAAGGAATGCTAACGTTGGTATGCCCATTGAGTGGGGTGTGAGTGGGACTGATATTTTGGTTTCTGTATACGTACTGGAAGAGTCTTTTCATAATAAACGAGAGACCATAAACAATACTGTATGTATGCCAGTAATCTTTGAGCTTCTCATAAAAAATAACTTACTGAAGAGTTAATACTAAAACCCTGAGGTAGAAATCCTCAGGGATTAGACTAAACTAGAATTTTGTATTTTGCAGATAAAAACTTTGTATTATCTAAGCTTATATATTAATTAACCACCTAGCTAATTCCTTTAATCAAGTTAGAGAAGAGAGAATATATATCAGATTGTTTTTCAGAGCAACCTAGTCTTAATGGTGATTTTTTAAAAAAATTAACATCAACCACTCACCTTATACATTGAGAATGTTTTTACCTTTTCACAATTGCAGGGGTTACTGAAAGTTAGGTTTTTTACTCCAAGTTTATTAATTTTTAATCCTCCAGAATGATTCAACTTAATGGTCCTGTTGCTGAAAAGTGTAGGAATTTTCCGAAGGACAGACTCTTCTTATGGGTATTGAAAAGTTCATTTGTACCGTTATAAAACAAGGTAGTGAAGCAAAAGGATGACTCAATTAAAAAGTCTCAATTAAAAAGTGAATTGTTCAAAACAGGGCAGATTAAAATTTGGGTTTTTTCCCCTAGGACTATTGTAAAACAGCATAAAATATGTTAACTGTACTATGTCACCAGAGTTTTCAGGTCATAAATATTTTTAAAATAGAATCACTCAGCATACCAAAATTAAAGCATTATGAAATTTCTGATCATCAGCATTCACTGGAAGCTGGGGCATCAGAATACTTCAATGAGCGATATTAGTAAGACCGTAATTTAGTTCTGGGTGTCAGAAGTAATGTGCAAAGATCCAGTATCAGATCCCTGAAATCTCAGTCTAGGCATGTAGCTAACTTTACCCAATTACCAGTGACTCTCAGTGCCATGCTTACCGTTATCACGACAAGATGAACTGCCATAGGTAAGCCATGGAAGAAATTTGTCCTTTCATTGTTTTGCATTTAAAAATGGTAGTGGAAAAAAAAAAAGAGTGTATTTTATCTCCCATTCTGAAGTTTCTTCCCTAGTTGATGGTAGATGGGGTAATACGCACATGCCCGGGGATGAGCATGGTGAGCGGGTCACAGCAGTTCACCTTGGGGTCCTCAAGTGGAACTGCAAGAGTAACAAGTTAGGCTCTAATCTGACACACTCTCAGAAATTACAGCCGACCTTTGAACAATGTGAGGGGTTAGGGGCACCAACCCCCATGTAGCTGAAATCCACATGCAACTGACTGCCTAAAAACCTTATAGCCTACTGCTGACCAGAAGCCTTACTGGTAACATAAACAGTCAATTAACACACATTTTGTATGTTACATGTACTATACACTATATTAGAATAAAGCTAAAAAAGAAAAAATGTTAAGAAAGTCAGTGTTTTTCATTCATGTTAAAATTATATGTATATGTACATATGTATGTGTATGTATATATATATATATATATATATATATATGATACCAGCTTTGCAAACAGTAGGAACTCTGACCACTAAGCTTGATCTAAAGTTTATTTTGAGGACCTCAGGTATACAAGAATGGAACAGTGACAAGAGTGAAGGCTTTGACTTCAGATATGGGCTTACGGCCTTTGTCAATTATTGACTGTTATGAGGAAAGTACTAAACCTGTGTCTTCATCCAGGAAATAGGGATGGGACACCAGAACTACAGGTGATTGAGGGTCTTGGTCAGTAAATCGCAGAGTTGCTTTCTTAAGAGGCTTTTGAATACTTTTGTTTTAAAAGTTTAAGTCTACTTGAAAGTCTATAAAGTGCAAATTTTTCATCTTCCTGAGACTTCTTTTTCTCACCTTTCTAGTTTTCAGTGGCATTCTTCCCAGACTCTTAGTTCTATGTGCTATGGAAAGATGCTCAAATGCTATGACTAAATTGTATGAAAGAAATCTAAAGATTCAGCAAGCAATTCTTAAGGATAAAACTAACCCTCTAGTACCTTTTAGTACTACTTTTAGTTTGGAATTGTCTTTTACATTATTTGCACCTTGAGAATCTGTGAAAAGAAAGCATTCAACAATTACTCTTGTCCCAAGGAAGCAAAGTGAGAGTAAACTCCGGCATGTGGAGATGGGGAAAGGACTGTGTTCACCATGAGAGCTGTTCAGGATGCAGCACAAAGCAAGTCTAAAGACTGAACTATTACGCATATTGTTGTCTTTTAACTCAACCAATCATGTATATCAAACTAAGGGAAAGTATTTAAGTTTTGTCTTTGCAACTTGAGACACGCAGAGCCTTAAATCACAAATCATCTACTGTAGCTATGGACAGGGTAGTCAAATTTATTTCAAAACAAAAGCTTCGTGGGCTGCATCAAATGCAGAAAGAAAAGGAATTCTCAGGGGCGTGGTTAAGTTACCAGTGTGCATTAACAGTGAGGTATGCCTCAAATAAGCCTTTTAAACTTGATAAACTCAACATACCCATGCAGTAATATTTTTTCAGTGCTACTAATGAAAAAAAATTAAAGCCTGCATTGGAAATTTACAATATGGCAGAATTTTGTTGCTCCTACCTTTTGACCTTAATGTACAGATTTTGTGACAGGGTCTGTGTTAAAAATCTAAACATTTTCACAAGATTTTAAACATCACTGGGAAACTAAATTTAGAGGAAACAAAATCAGATAAAAGTACAATGCCCGTGACAGCCAGCATTATGTAATTAGGCTGTATGAGGTTGTTTAGAAGGCTACGGTTAAAAAGATAGACAAAAAGATTTTTAAAAATTACCCCCAAAGTTGATGCGCTGATTTGAACATAAGTACACCGTATAATATAGCAAGGGGATACACTGCAAAAATGTAATCTATTTACAGAAGATTGATTTAAAGACATTATGGTTTTCTTTACAAACAGATGTAGGAACAGAAATTGTCCACTTTTTAAAAACTCTACATTTCAACCTCCACTATTAGTATAGTCCACTGAAATTGCCTGTATCAAAGGCAGTTTATGTTTTTTTCTTGTTTGACTCTCCAAATGATTTTCCATCATTTCTTCATCATTTGTAGCCCTGGCTCTCCTGAAAAGTCTCTGGGCACAAGCCATAGGAGGGCAGGTTTTTTACTTGTAATTAAAAATAAAATCACCAAAAACTAGAGATCCCTCCACTGCACCCTGTCCCTGCCCCTTCTCCGCAGTTCAGTCATCGCTATCTGACAGTGTCTCGTACTGTGCTGAGAGCAGTGGGGCGGGCTCTCGCTCCCAGATCCTGTTCTGTTGGTGAGGAGCTGCTTGGTTCACAGCAGAGGCAGCACATGCAATCGGTGTTGGTGGCGTACTGCTGAGCATCCGCATAGTCAGAGGATTATAAGGAAACTGAGTTGAGCCTGACAAAAGAAAAATTAGGTTTTCATTGTCATGAGGATACTTGCTGTTTCATTAATACAACTTTTGTAGGATAGAGTAGGATGGGATTATTCTACTAAAGTACTTGTGACAATATGAAAACAAAATGAATACAACATGAAGGGCCAAGTTCACCACTTAAATTCTAGCCAATGATACGTAGCACTGAGGGGGTCTGAAAAGGAAGAACAACATGAATCAGCAGCTGAGTCCAGAAGAAAAAGCCCAGGGATGGATTTTTAGTTAAGTCTTTAATCCAAGTGAAACTACTGAGTATTAAGCTCTAACTGAATAGAGACGGATTACACCAGGAACTCTGACTCCTAAAGAGAAATGCAGAGTACAATTACCAGAGAGGGAATAAGGACCCAGGAGCTGGAGCACGCTGAGGGACAGCAGGATGCATGTCCTCTGCTAAATTGTACAAGAATGACAAGATTGGGTACATTAACAAGAATAATGCTACCCCTTATCAATTTCTAGGTTAACTGTACCCAGAAAGCCTCCTACAGCTTAAGGAACCCTAAAAATATACTATTTCATCACATAATTTTCACATACGGCCTAATAATTCCTTCCCTAAGAGCTGTGGGAAATGGAAATCATTGGTCTAGTCTGTTAAGTTTTCAAACTAACACAACTGATTTGTATGTGGCAAGAGTATTTTATGAAGGAAGTTATGCTGATAAGTCATATTTATAAATGTCTAGGGGAAGGGCACATTTCCGATTTTTTCAGTGATGTTTATGTGTTTAACTCTTAAATTAAGGATGGGTTAGAATTCTCTGAACCCTCAAATACATGGCAAACATCCTAGTTTTATTTGAAAAAGATAGTCTGTTTTTATTTAAAACTACCATGAATGTAGTTATCACGCGGTGGCAGGTTCAAACCCAGCCCTGGCCAAAAACTGCAAAAAAAAAAAAAAATGTTTAAAAATGTACACAAAATGGGGCGGAGCCTATGGCTCAGTGGGTAGAACACCAGCTCCATATACCAAGGGTGGCGGGTTCAAACCTGGCCTTGGCTAAACTGCAACCAAAAAATTAAAGCCAGTTGTTGTGGCGGGCGCCTATAGTCCCAGCTACTCAGGAGGCTAAGGCAAGAGAATCGCCTAAGCCCAGGGGTTGGAGGTTGTTATGAGCTGTGTGATGCCATGGCACTCTACGGAGGGCGATAAAGTGAGACTGTCTCTACAAAAAAAAAAGTACACAAAATGAAAAAACTAAAAATTATCCTAAAGTACTGTTTTCCATCAGTTTCATCAGTTAGTGTACATAAAGTAAACCTACAGATGATGGCTTTTAAAAAACATTTCATTCCTCCTCCCTTTGGGGGGTGGGGGGGTGGGGAAGAGACAAGGTCTTACTCTGTTACCCAGCTTTGAGTGCAGTGGCCCAATCATAGCTAATCACACTCTTAAACTCCCAGGCTCAAGCGATCCTCCCACCTTGGTTGGCTTCCCCACTGTGCCTGGCCCTAGATAATGGCTTTTTAGACTGTTCTTCTCATTTCCAACTTTGATTTTAAATATTTCCTTAAGAACCTTCTCTAAGCATGTCTATGTGAAGGCTAAAGGTAAGGTTCTCTTAGGTGTGGCCCTGTGCATTCAGATATAGTTCATGAAAGAGTTAGAACTATAGACTTATTTACTTTGCATAATACATAAGAGTGAAATTACTTTATCATAGCTCCTCCTCTGTTTATGTTAAACAAAACTTGGGTTCTTAAAATTTGTGAGGTTTTTGCATTCAATTTCTATTTTGGAAAGTACATACAGAAATAAGTATATAATTTTCCAAACTATAAAAGTTGCTGATTTCTGGAGAACACTCAAAACATTCCTATAAAGTGCTTTGTCTCATTTTCTAGCATTTAAACTAGGCTCCTCACTGGCCAGGCTCACTCTGGAAGACTGAGGCAGGTAGATTACTTAAGCTCAGGAGTTCAAAACCAGACTGAGCAAGAGTGAGACCCTGTCTCTATTAGAAATAGAAAATTAGCTGGGTGTGGTGGCAGGCACCTATAGTCCCAGCTACTCAGGAGACTGATGCAAGAGGATTGCTGGAGCCTGAGTTTGAGGTTTCTGAGAGCTATGATGATGCCACAGCACTCTACCCAGGGTGACAGAGTGAGACTTTATCAAAATAAAACAAACAAACTAGGCTCCTCACCTGTTGAAGAGGGCCTGTCTTCCCAGGCCCACCCTGGTGTCTGCCTATGGTAATCCCCTTCTGAATGCACGGAAGAGACTGAAGAGGGCCGTTCTGTTCCTAAGTATCCTTGCCCAGGGATAGGAGATTTAGATTTCCTGCTATTTGACTTGCTGATCAGCTTTGGTTTGCAAACTCCTAAAAGTGAATTCAAGTTAAATTTTTAATTATTCATACATAATATTTAAGTTATCAACTTAAAAATCTACCAAAATGCTAATGATTTATAATGCTAAGTATAAATTCAGATCCTTATACTCCATATAATAAGAAATACTACAGGTATACCTTGGAGATATTGTGGATTGAGTTCCAGACACTGCAATGAAGCAAATATTGCAATAAACACTAGTCTAACTTTTTTTGGTTTCCCAGTATATGTGAAAGTTGTTTACACTGTACTATAGTTTAAGTATGCAATAGCATTATGTCTAAAAAAAAAAAAATACCCAAGGTATATACTCTAATTAAATAATATTTTAATGCTAAAAATTACTAATGATCATCTGAGCCTTCAGGGACTTGTAATGATTTTGCATGTGCAGGATCTTGCCTCAATGTTGATGGCTGCTGACTGCACAGGGTGGCAGCTGCTGAAGTTTGGATGGCTGTGGCTATTTACCATAGTATGACAACAATAGGGCCGGGCTTAGTGGCTCTTAGCCCTCTGGGGGTGGGAGGGGTTGGACAAGGTGGGTGGATTGCCTGAGCTCATGGGTTCAAGACCAGCCTGAGCCAGACTGAGACCTCATCTCTAAAAATAGCCGGGTGTTGTGGCGGGTGCCTGTAGTCCCAGCTACTTGGAAGGCTGAGACAAGAGAATCACTTGAGCCCAAGTATTTGATGTTGCTGTGAACTATGACATCATGGCACTCTACCAAGGGTGACAAAGTGAGACCTTTTTTTGAGACTGAAGACAACAATGTAGAGTCTTGCCACATGGACTGATTTTCCCTATCAGGAAGGATTTCTCTGTAGTGTGTGATGTCATCTCGGCATTTTACCCACAGTAGAATTATTTCAAAATTGGAATCAATCCCCTCAAACCCTGCCACTTTTTAATTAAGTGTATACAATACCCTTAATCCTCTTGTCATTTCAACAATGTTCACTATACCTTCACCAGGAGTAGATTCCAGCTCGAGAAACCACTTTTCCTTGATGATTCATCAAGTCTGAGACTGTAGCAACTCAGTCACATCTTCAGGCCCTGCTCCTGACTACACTTCTGCTATTTCTACTGTATCCACAGTGACTTTCTCTACTGTTGTCTTGAGCCCCTGAAAGTCATCCATGAAGGTTATAATCAACTTCTTCAAAACTCCTATTAATGTTGGTATTTCTACCTCTTCCCATGAATTACAATTTTTTTTTTTAGAGACAGAGTCTCACTTTGTCACACTCGGTAGAGTGCTGTGGCATCACAGCTCACAGCAACCTCCAACTCCTGGGCTTAGATGATTCTCTTGTCTCAGCCTCTCGAGTAGCTGTGACTATAGGTGCCTGCCACAATGCCTGGCTATCTTTTTTCCTTTCAGTTTAGCTGGGGCTGGGTTTGAACCTGCCACCCTTGGTATATGGGGCCGGCACCCTATAATTGATTTTTTTTTTTTGGAGATAGAATCTCACTATGTAGCCCTCAGTAGAGTGTTCACAGCACTCAAACTCTTGGGCTCAAGCGATTCTCTTGCCTTAGCCTCCCAAGTAGCTGAGACTACAGGTGCCTGCCACAACACCTGGCCATTTTTTGTTACAGTTATCTTTGTTCAGTGGGCCCGGCTGGGTTCAAACCCACCAACTTCGGTGTATGTGGCTGGTGTAACCACGGTGCTATGGGCACTGAGCCTACAATTAATTGATCTTAATGGCACACAGAATGATGAATCCTTTCTAGAAGGCAATTTACTTTGTCCAGATCCATCAGAGGAATCAATGTATATGGCAAGTATAGCCTTATGAAATGAATTTCTTAAATAGTAAGACTTGAAAGTTATAGTGATCATGAGATGCAGGACAGGTGTTGTGTTAGCAAGCCTGAAAGCAGCACTAATCTGTATGTCTCCAGTAGAGAGGACCCAAGTCAATGTGCAGTAAAACTGAAAAGAACCATTTTTTTTCTGAGCAGTAGCCTTCAACAGTGGGATTGAAAGACTTCAGTAAATCATACAATAAACAGATGTGCTGTCATCAAGGCTTTGTTGTTCCATTTTTAGAGAGCACAGGCAGAGCAGATTTAGTGTATTTATTAAGGGCCCTAGGTTTGTCAGAATGGTAAAGGAACACTGGCTTCAACTTCAAGTCACCAGCTGCATTAGCCAGTAAGAAGAGAGTCAGCCTATCCACTAAAGATCTGAAGCTAAGCTCCAACTTCTCTTCAGATATGAAAATCCTAGATAGCATGTTCCAAGAGAGGGCTGTTTCTTTTACATTGAAAATGTGTTTAGTGCAGCCGTGATAATCAATTATCTTAGCCTAATCTTCTGGACAATTTGCTGTAGCTTCTCCATCAGCACTTTTTGCTGCTTTCCTCAGACCTCATGAACCAACCTCTGCTATCTTCAGACTTTTCTTCTGCAACTTCCTTGCCTCTCTCAGGCTTCACAGAATCGAAGAGAGGTAGGGCCTTCCTTTCAATTAGGCTTTGGCTTAAAGGAATATTGTGGCTGGTTTGATCTTCTATCTAGACCACTTGAGTTTCTCCACGTCAGCAGGAAAACTGTTTGCTTTCTTATCATTTATGGGTTCCTTGGAGTAGCACTTTTAACTTCTTTCAAGAACTTTTCCTTTGCACTTATTAATACAACTTGACTGTTGGGCACAAAAGGCCTAGCTTTTATCAGCCTGTCTCAGTTTTCAACATGTCTTCCTCACTAACCGTGATCATTTTTAGCTTCTGATTTCAAGTGAGAGATGTCAGACTATTCCTTTCACTTGAACACTTACCTTCCTTTCACTTGAACACTGTAGGATTCTTAATTGCCATAATTTCAATATTGTGAGGACAGGGGGATCAGCTGATCAGAACACACAAAGCATTTCTGGTTTAGGCTCACACTCTTAGGTAAGTACACTTCATGGTGCCCCCCCCCAGAATTTACAATAGTAACATTGAAAATCACTGATCACAGATCACCATAACAAATACAATAATGAGAAAGTCTGAAAAATACTGTGAGAATTACCATAATGTGACACAGACAAAAGTGAACACATGCTGTCGAAAAAAACGGCACTAGGGGACCTGCTTGCTCAGTGCAAGGTTGCTACTTAAATCTGTAAAAAACAGTTATCAGCAAAACACAATAAAACAAAATATGCTTTTATTTAAAAGAAAATCACAATTACACTTGTAACAAAACCTCTCCCCCCCAAATAAGAGAAAGTATGTCTTCATGCCATAAACCTAAAAATATGGTAACCAAGGAACTGAAATTTCCACAACATCAAAGCTTCTTTACAGGCTTTAGATGATAGAAACTGCTAAAAAAAATAAGACAAGGTGACAAAAACCCTAAATCTTCACTAACTGTGCACTGCCCACCTGCAAATTTAGAGCAGAGTATACAGAGGAATTAACACATCATACCAAGAAATACTACGCAAGAGAAAACACACAGGTCAGCCTTTCCACACCCCTCCAGGACCTCAGCAGAGGCTCCGCAAGTTGTGGGTGGCCCTTTCTATCTGACCAGACTTGGTTTAGTTGGTGAACTCAGTAGTTCAGTTGGATGCCCCTAATGGGGCTCTAGAACAAAACACCGAAACGATCTCAGAAGTCACCAACAAAATTTTTCCTGAGCCCCAGGAGAACAATTTCACCTAGCTCCAAATCTTATACAGCCAGAGTAACTGTGATTGCATAACAGTCACCAGTATTATCATCCTAAAATACACACACTTAAAATCATAAGTTGGACAGTAAGAACAAAAAGAGGGAGATAATGCTTAATCTTAGAGTAGAAAGTAATTGATACTGTCTTAAAGTTAATATATGAAAGTTAAAAAAACCTTCTAATCTCTTTCATCTTTTTTTTATTGTTGCAGTTTTTGGCCAGGGCTGGGTTTGAACCCACCATCTCTGTTATATGGGGTTGGTGCCCTACTCCTTGAGCCACGGGTGCTGCCATCTTTAACCTTTTTCTTAACCATAGTGAGATCTTTTATATAAAGACAGGAAAATAAACCTAAATTGAAATATGGATCAAGTAAAATTTTTTTTTTGAGACAGAGTCTCACTTTATCACCCTCGGTTAGAGTGCCATGGCGTCACAGCTCACAGCTCACAGCAACCTCCAATTCCTGGGCTTAGGTGATTTGATTCTCTTGCCTCAGCCTCCCGAGTAGCTGGGACTATAGGCACCCACCACAATGCCCAGCTAAATTTTTGGTTGCAGTTTGGCCGGGGCCGGGTTTGAACCCGCCACCCTTGGTATATGGGGTTGGTGCCCTACTTGCTGAGCCACAGGTGCTACCCAGATCAGGTAATTTTTAACAAGAGATAATCTTTTGAGAACTGTTAACATTAAAAGCTTAGTGTCATTATAGCTTTTTGTGTGCTTGGTTTTAACAAAATGTATTAAATGATCTCATTCTAGTATCTGTCTTTCTAGACTTGTTTAGAATGGTGCTTATCAAATATTAACACTAGCTTTCTTTTTATTAAATCATAGCTGTGCACATTAATGCAGTCATGGGGTACAATGTGCTGGTTTTATATACAATTTGAAATACTTTCATCAAACTGGTTAACTATAGCCTTCACGGCATTTTCTCAGTTGTTAAGACATTCATATTCTACATTTAGTAAATTTCACATTTACCCTTGTAAGAACACTGGCTTTCTTGATGATGTGATTTGAAGGATTTTTTTTCTTACTCCTATGACTTACAATTCTTTTATACTTTCATTATTAATACAAAAGTAAGTCACCGTTATTCAAAAAAACTATGATACTGTCCTTATGTTATAATTACAATGTATATGTATAGATAAAGATTAAATGAAAGTAAATTAAAAAACTGCTAGGAGGGTGACATTCTGGGTAAAAATTTTCTTCCTTTTAATTTCTGATCATGTTACAATAATATCTGGGCAGGTTATTTGTTTTAGAAACTAAAACCCTTTAGAGGTGCCTTTGAACATATAAAGACATAAATGAAGTATCTTAGTGATGCACCAAAACTTGAGAAATAAATTGCCTTCTGGAGAAACTGAGCAAATGAGCACTAAAATGAAAACTTTACCTGAATGCGGTGATGGGTCCCCTTCTTCTCTCCGGGTCTCACTACTGGTCACAACTGAGGTGTTGGCAGTACCGGGCACTACTCCCACAGATTGGGACATGACAACTCCATGATCCTCAACTTTGTCATCAAAGCTTCCCATGAGAGCCTTCCTGATAATGTCTTCTAAACCTAGATTACTGGCAGGATCAGCAAAAGAATGGCCTCTAGAACTAACTGAGCCTGAAAGAGAATCAAAAGGCTTTCTACTTGTTTCTGAGAGGCAGATCAGGAAACAGACAAGAAAAGACTACATATGGTCCTTCAGCCCCACTGAATACACACTGCATTTGGCAAACGGCCTAAAACACCTGAGAGCCCATACATAGGCCACCTTAATCCACAAATAACAACCCAAGGAAATTTGGTCCCCAAATGAATCAGTCACCCATACTTGTGTTAAAGATATTCCATTAACAGTTTTCTCTCTTGAGTTTCCTAGTTTCTGCAATGTTCTTTCATAGTTTTGATTGCATTTGTTCATTTAGCCTTTCAATAAGTATTTGCTGAGTTTCAATTCCTTTCTGTGCTAATCTTCCCTGACTAAATTATTTATTAATTTTTGCATATTGGAACACTCAACCCCCTGGCATGCAGTTGGCACTCAGTACCTATTTGTTGGGTTGACTGCAACTATACTGATTTTGTCTTGGTAAAAAATGCCCATTCAATCTTACCTGACGTAGTGACTGCTGGCAGATTAAAAATCTCAGTTCCTGGCTGAGCAGCTGCTGTGTTTAAACAAATATTTGCGTTAATTGAGATACGATAATCATATTTTTCCAAATTAAGTTTCAAAAACTCCTATATGAAATTAATCTTGTTTGTTTTTTTGAGACAGGATCTCACTCTGTTTCTGGGACTGGAGTGCAGCGGCAGCATCATAGCTCACTGCAATCTCTAACAGTCTAACTCCTAGGCTCAAGTGATCTTCCTGCCTCAGCCTCCAGAGTAGCCACGACTACAGGTGCGCAGCATCACACCCAGCCAACACTTCTTATTCTTTAAGGTCTCACTGTTGCCAGTCTTGACTCCTGCTTCTTGCCCCTGTGCCTTGCCAAAATACATCTTTCTCTTTTCTATGATCTCAACCTTTGTTTTTCACCCATTAATTGAAGACAGAATGAAGAAATAACTATTAAAACAAAAAAAGAAACTAGGAAATAAATTGGGTGAAGTAGAAAAATCAAAACAAGATTGTTGCTGGGCATAGTTGCATATGCCTGTTCCCAGATACCTGAGAGGCTAATGTGGGAGGATCGCTTGAACCCAAAAGTTTGAGGTCAGCCTGGGCAACACAGCGAGACCCTATCTCTAGAAAAAAAAAAAAGAGAGAGAGACAAAAAAAGAATCTCAGGAAAAATAATTCATCCAGAGAAAGGAAAGAAACTTTGCATTGCTAGGAGAAAGCAAATAGGAAGGAGTTGCTCTTAGAATAGGAATCCGGGCTTCCCAGTGAAGAACCCTGGGATTCTTTTTTTTTTTTTTTTTTTTAAGGGACAGAATCTTACTTTATAGTCCTCAGAGGGCCATGGCATCACAGCTCATAGCAACCTCCAACTCCTGGGCTTAGGCAATTCTCTTACCTCAGCCTCCTGAGTAGCTGGGACTATAGGCACCTGCCACAACACTCGGCTATTTTTTGTTGCAGTTGGCCAGGGCCAGGTTTGAACCTGCCACCCTTGGTACATGAGACTGGTGCCCTACTCACTGAGCCACAGGCACTGCCCAAACCCTGGGATTAAGATGACCCCTGTGGGTACAGACAGATTTGAAGCAGCCTTAAGATTAGGTCTGGGGGAAGTCACTTCAATGTACAGTATGAAAATGACTGTGTTTCCCTACCACAGCTAACTGGAAACCCAGGATATTCCCTAGATCAGACAAAATACTCTCTTGATTCTTTTCATTTCTGTTGACTGCATGATTTCTAATTTGCACAGTTTGAATGATAACAGCAGAAGATCTGTGAACTACCTATAAAGCACTGAGCCAGAAGAGAAAGGAATTTGGGGACATAAATGGTATTTCCATTACTTCTTGCACTTTGATGCTGAAAATTTTAAAGAGAAAAAAGAACACAGGAAGTAGATGACCAAACAGATGATCTCCCAGAGAAGATGCAGAGTTTCAGATGAGACAACAAAAGATGGACTCCTGGTACAGAGATAAGAGTCGTTTGTGAAGATGGACGAGTGCGTGTGCCCAGAAACTCACTTCATTAGAGACACTTTAAACTGACAAGAGGAAGAGCAAAACCCCAGGAATAACTATCAAACAATTACTAAAGACTATCTTCCTACTTACGGCCCAGGTAACAGGGGACGTACATTAAACACGAAGTAACACAGCATTGTGATTATGACAAAGTTTGTGAACAGGACACATTCATTTTACTTTACAAATATTTACTGAGCAATTATTTGGCTGAATTATAATAAAATTACCTTTTATCCCTCAAAAATGGTCAGATAAGGTGATTTCATATAGTTTAACAGTAATAACAACATACTGCGTTTGCCGTGCACCCCTTCTTTTGCCTTTTACAGTTCAGCAAGGACATACAAATGAGAATCACTGGGGTAGCTCAGTAAAAATGTAAATGTTCTACATGCCTGGGGCTCCATTATTCACCAGCGTAATAAGCATTCCAGGTGACTGTGGTACACATTAAAGTCCAAGAATCCCTGGTTTAAAATAAATGGGCAAACTGTTGATAGAGGATGTAGTAATTGCTCAGAAATGAGGGGGAAAGGAAGGCAGATATGTGAGCGCTTGAGGCAGACTTGACAGGAGGAGGTAACTACCCTCAGGAGATGCAGGAGGGAGGATGGCTAGGACAGCAACAGGAAGTACAGGAAACTGGAGGAGGAGAAATTTTCTGTATGGAGAGATGAAATTGTAAATTTAACTGTAGGTATTTAAGGCGCTAATAGGATACTCAAGAAGAAATGAGGTCTGCAAAGATATATAAGTGGTTCTTACTAGAAAAAGCTGGACTCTAGATACAAATTTGTGAATTTTTTAGCAAAAAAGTCATAGTTTAAATCTCTAAAGTAGATGAAATGACTCAGATTATAACACATGAAAGGAAAGGGGCTGAGAAGAGAGCCTGGGGAAAACTAAAAACCAAGGGCCAAGCAAAGCAAGACTGAGCTGCCAAGGAGACAGAAGTGGCCAGAGAAGTAGAGAAAAACCAGAATGTAGTATCCGGAAACCAAGACAAGAGTGTATTTCTGGAAAAGGGAAGTGGTTCACTATGTCAAAAGTTACAAAGAGATCCAATCAAGTAAGTTTTACCTTTTAATAAACTCATGGATGTCCTGGGAACACTGAGAGAAAAGGAGCATTCTTGGTTGCTAATGGCTTTGATTTCTCAGTTCTACTTCCCAGTGAGGACTCAATGTACCCTGAGGTCCCAGGAGCCCAGTGGTTCTTTAATGTAAATTTTCCTTTTCACAATTAAAAATAATCCTTATAGGCCAGAGTGGTGGCTCACTCCTATAATCCTAGTGCTCTTGGAGGCCAAAGTGGGAGGATCACATGAGCTCAGGAGTTTGAGACCAGCCTGACCATGAATGAGACCCCATCTCTATTTACCAAAAATATAGAAACTAGCCAGGTGTTGTGGCAGGTACCTATAGTCTCAGCTACTTGGGAGGGTGAAGCAGGAGGGTTGCTTGAACCCAGAGTCCAGGAGTTTGAGGTTGTTGTGAGCTAGGCTGAAGCAATGGCCCTCTAGCCGGGGCAACAGAGTGAGACCCTGTCTCAAAAAACAAACACGAAAACAAACTTGCAATTAAAAAAAATCCTAGATTTTAAAGCAATTTTGTTAGTATTTGCCTTAAGATTTTAATATGCTTTATCTCTTATTAACGTTAGGTACTTGTTTTATCATACCTTTTAAGACAGTAAAGACCATCTATAGTACTAAAAACACCCTGCATAGTACTGCTCAAGAAATAATTGTTGAATCAATGAATGAGAGAGCTATTACCTAAAGGTGATGTGAAATACTAGGTAAGAGAAGAAACCACGAAGTACATGCACTTCTTCAACTTGTATGTGCCATTTTCCTGTCAAGAATTTCCCACTGAAAGGGCAAGACAGAGACTAGAGAGGAAAAGTATAAACCACATGGAGGCGAAATGCTTCCTAACGACTGGCTGCTCTACAACCTGTACATCTCCACCCTTGAAAAAATTCATCTCTGGGTTCCGAGAGAATATGAAATGAGGACTCCATGTTTTTGTTGGTGACATTTGAGGAACTCTAACAGATGAAACTGCTGATGAATAGAGACAGGAAAAATATTTTTTAAAAAGCAAAGATATCTGTAAGCCTGATAGCAATTCTAGTCAGCATTCCAAAACACTTATTTTTTAGGTGATTTTGAGAGCTAGGGTAAGTTTATAAAAAATAAGTGACCCTAGGTTCATCCTCGTTCAACATTTGTTAATCACAAAGTGGCACAGACCCCAACGTATATCCACCTGGCATTTCACAGCCCACACTTTCCTTAACAAGGTCAGAAGACTAGCAGATGGGAGATTACAGGAAAAAAGGAGATGACTGTACTCAGAGTCTTATCACTGGGAACCACTGAGGAAAAGATGTAAGACCTGAGGACAGTAAAGTGAGGGCACCAAATGATAAGTTATAGAAGGGTCTGGTTAATGCTTGCATATCAAACCAAAGCATAGAGCTTTTTTGGGGACACTTACCAAGAATCTGGCTAAGATGCTTTGAGTATGGAACTGTTAGGAACCATTTAGTCTATCACTGGAAACATGAACTCTGGAGCTGCAATGCCTGGGTCTGAACTGTAGCCCCATTACTTATTACTAGATATATAACCTGCACCAGGTATTAAACTTCCCTATGTCTCAGTTTCCTCATCTGCAGAATGGAGATAATTATAATATGTAGCATGTAGGGTTCTTGTGAGGATTAAACAAGATTATATCTGTACATGCCTAGAATAGAGTCTAGCACACAGTGAGTGCTAGATAACCTTTTGCCACTATTGACATCATACTTTTAGATGGTGAGTTCAGACTTGCATGAATGCTTAATGATTAAGCTAAGATCCAGAAAGACACTAGCAGAACAAAAAAAGTAGTTGGGATGGAGCAAGCTTCACCTACATGTGGAGCTATTTAGAAACTGCAAAAGTAGAGCCGAGGAGTGTATGAATGGACATCTCCATCTGTGCTATGTCTTCTATAACTTAATAGTGTATAGACTGCTAACAAAAAGCTAATACAACTTTAAGTTAGTTTAATAACAATGAATTTAGGATACAGCATATCACACTTCTGTATTTTGTGTTACAAGCTACTAGAAGGCTAGGCTATGTTTTTGGTGGAGAACAATTGAGCCTATAGGAATACTTGGAATGAGGACATGTGGAGAACAGCTGATGAACCTGGAGATATTTATAGAGATAAAAAGACTCATGAAGAACATGTCTTCACATAACTGACATGCCATGTGAAAATAGACCAAATGGATAAAACTAAGATCAATGGGTAGGAGAAAACAAATTATGGAGTTAATCAGCTCCATATAAGAGAAAAAAGTGTCCTAAGCACAGCATTTGCTCACAGACAAAATGGACAGCTATAGAAAGGAGTTTGTTCCTGCTTCCCAATTAGGAACTCTTCATGAACTGGTAGATGTTTGAGAAGGAACTTAAGATCAGTCAGATGTGTTGGACGGATGCTCTTTAAGAGCCTTTCAACTCAAGGATTACAGGAAAGGCAACACTGGAGATATCATTAATGTGCGTATTAATTGGGGTTCATGAAAGAAATCCCACTTACCCATATCAGAGTCACCTCCACCAGAGGAGTTCAACTTACGAAAAATCTCTTGCTTCTTTGATTTAACCATGGGTGATGTGTTTTCAAGCTTGGTGAAGAAGGAAGGCAAGTAGTTTATACTCCCTGGTGAGCGGGAATCGTTCCTGTCAGGAACACAGTTAAGTCTATTACAATCATGTGCTCCTAACCCTGGACATTCTTGTCAATGATGATAACAGAAAGCACCTGGAAAACTGCTGCCTTCCCATCCTGTTTGTGCTTACAACCCTTAGAAACAACACGTAACTGTAAGTCTCTTAGTACATCATTTAAGGACACAGACAAATCCTTTAGCCTCAAATAGGAAATTTTAAAATTAAGATTAGAATGGAATGAATTAGCAGCAAGTTAATACTACTGTGAAAACTCAAAAAGAACTTATTATGATGCTCTCTACATAATGGGACAAACATCTATATAATTATAGTTACCACATAAACCAGGTGGTACATAAAGCTCCAGCTTTATACATAAAGCTCCTTTAAGTATACTAAAATTATAACTAATGGCACACTTCTCTATAAAACAGTAAGAATCCACACCTACGCAACCAACAGTTGGAGTTGAACAAAATAGTTAGAGCATATGAACAAAATAACCTATTTATTACAATCACATCAAGCCAACTAACAGGTAATCTGACTTTAATGTAAAGGGTTTCACATTTTATTGGCAACTTTCTATACTAACATTTTATAAATCAAGTTTTCCCTAATAGCTCAAGGTCAACCAAGGATCTAGCTAGAGCCAGAGAGAGTAACACAAAATATAGGGGTTTTCTTTTTGGAGATAGTCTTATTTTGTCGCCCTCAGTAGAGTGCCATGGCATCACAGCTCATAGAAACCTCAAACTCTTGGGCTCAAGTGAATCTCTTGCCTCAGCCTCCCAAGATGCTGGGACTACAGATGCCTGCCATAACACCTGGCTATTTTTAGAGATGGGGTCTTACTGTGGCTCAGGCTGGTCTTGAATTCCTAAGCGCAAGCAATCCACCCGCCTTGGCCTCCCAGAGTGCGAGGATTACAGGCGTGAGCCACAGTGCCCAGCCAGAATACAGAACTTTTGATAACCTAACCTGGTCATTCATCACTCAAACAAAGGAACAGTAACTATAGGCCAAGAAGGACAGTGATAGAAAAGAGGAATAAGATACGGTCCCTGTTCTCAAAAGACTCATAAACTTAGGGGAAAATATGTAAATGTATAATTGAATTATCATTCCCTTTCTAAAAATGGATTTTCTTTCTCGTTTCTTGAAAGGTACCAACATCTATTTGGTTGACTAAAAATACATAGTGCAATACATAAATAGCAATACGCTGTGAGCACTAGCAGTTTGGAGTTAGAGAGACCTTGTACATAGCAATAGCAATACACTGCACTAGCAGTTTGGAGTTAGAGAGACCTTGATTTAAAACCGGACATTCCCTCTTACTTCCAGCATGACCAGGGGCAAATCATGTATTTATCTCTCAGAGCATCAGGGAAGGGTGTTCCATACCAAGGAAACAACAGGATATAGACAACTTAATACGGACAGAGTAAAACGTGAGGGTGAAGTGGCAGGAAGTGAAGTTGGATGAGCAGCATAAATTTGGTCATGAAGGAACTCAAATGCCATGCTCATGACTACATGGCTGTTTCTTTAGACAAATTGTTCTGGTGGAGGTATGGAGATTGACCAGAAAGGGGCAAAATCAATGGCATCTATCTAATCCAAATGGAGATAAAAACCTAGTAATTCATAGGGCTGGGATCAGGGTTAGAAACAGGTTTAAGATATAATCCATATATATTCCACCATGTCTGGTATATGGTAAGCATTCAAGTGTTGGCTGAAACAATGGCTGAAAAACATTTTCAGAACGAGATGGACTAAAAGAATAATGAATAGATTCTTTTCTCACCTATTTAAATATAGTAGAACCATAGTTGACCACTTCCTTAAGTTGACCTGTTCACAGACCCCACCTGCACTCCATGGACACATTAGTACAGTAGACTGTTCCTCATGTTGACCTCCTCTAAATGTTGACCAATTGGTTACATACAGTCCCCTGGGTGGTCATCTCACAGAGGTTCTACTGTGTTACAAATTTTTTGCTAAAATTCACTAGCATTAATTAGATCACTTGGAAAACAGACTAAATGATCTAAATGACACAAAAACCAAAAAGAAAAAGGTACCAACTTAAGAAAAATTTTAAGGCTTCTCCACCTCAGCACAAGTTGCTGCTGGGCTAAGAAGTGCCTTCTCTTCTCACCTCTGCTCTGCAGGTTCTGCTCCCCTCTGAGACAAGAGCAGCATGCTGTCCTGTTTCTCATGCACAACTGGAACCTGGGGCGGGGAGATGGGCTCGTAGGCCTCTGACGAGACGTGACTCCGCTCTGGAGATTTTCCAGGCCTACTGTTGTAACATACATACATTAGATTATGCTTCAAAGGGTCACCTATGGATTACCCTAAATAGAAACTGGTTAACTCATGACTTCATTCAAGACAAAGAACAAATTTGCCAATTTCTATCAGAAAAAGTTGCCTTGGGTACTCACTATATTCTTAGCTATTAAACAAAAGTCTATTACTGCCATTTTACCCATCTATGCCCAGTGGATTCCGGAGTCCCGCCATCAGAGCAGCAGTGGCAGCAGAAGGCTGTGAACGTCCTTAAATATCAGACTCCACCTTACCCGCAGCCACTCAGTCCAGGTGAACCCTGAACGGTTCTGCTGCCTATTTTGAGTCATGACTTACCTCATGAAATTAAAGATAAAAGACTTGAATACCAAACTGAAACCTAAGGAGTTTTGGCAAGTGAGGCATCCTCTAGCTATACCATTTTAGGACTTAGAGGTTCTCTGCAATTTAATATTTTTCCTCTGGACACCATGTTGGTAAGACAATGTGAGACAAACATGCAGTTTAGACCTTTTTGACTTAGCGATAATATGTGTGAAGAGCCACTTACTGCTTTCAACAACTCTATTTATTACTATTATGGTTAAGCATAGTTACATATATGTAATATTTATTTCCTTTCCCAAATCAACTCCATCTGATTCTCAGAGGTGGCCATTCTGGGCCCTGTTTTCAGTCCTTTGGTGTTTACCTTTAAAACTCTAATCTTACACCTTTATTTTTTGGTTTATCAAACTTGAAACATTATCAATTCCCTCTCATGAAAGATGATTAACTTAATTTACTTTTTCTATGTTGTTGCTCATTTTAATCTTTATTTTAATTTTCATAGCATAATTCAGCCTTCTATATTTTTATCAGTTGATGTTCTTTTTATAACACTGGATTGTGTGAAGATTTTAACAGATCACGAGTTAACTTGTTTGCACTTGCATTAGCTATAGAAAATTTTAAAACACAGAGTAATGTAGGATATTGTAAAAACTCTTTCTTTCTTTCTTTCTTTCGAGACAGTGTCTCACTATGTTGTCGCCTGATTAAAGAGCTGTGACGTCACAGCTCACAGCAACCTCAAACTCTCGGGCTTAACTGATTCTCTTGCCTCAGCCTCCCAAGTACCTGGGACTACAGGCACCCACCACAACACCTGGCTATTTTTTGGTTGTAGTTGTCATTGTTTGGCAGGCTGGGGCTGGGTTCAAACCCGCCAGCTCCAGTGTATGTGGCTAGCACTCCAGCAGCTAAGCTACAGGCATCGAGCCTATAAAGACTTTCTTGATCATGTCACTGGAACAAAAGCTGGTGACATGGGATCACTTTTGTATAAAATGCTGGTCAACAGTATGTGAAACTAAAAAATCAGGTAATTTTACTAAAATCAATGAAAGAAATGTAACACTCCTCATTCAAATGTCCAAGGGTAGTGACGCAGAAATTATAGGAGAAAAAGCCAAATAGATTATCTTTTCATAAATGTCATCAATTGTTCAAAATCTGCCACATAGTACTTTGTGTCAGGAGTGAACCATAAGTCATCTTAGGTTTATAAAGCGTCCCATTTTTCTTAGATAATTGCATTCCTTTTCTTTTTTGTGGTTTTACAAGAATAAATGTGCTTTATGTTAAAATTATCCAGCTTCTTGAAATGACTACGTCAGACAACTGCTTCAAAATAATCCAGTCTGGAAGTGGGCAAGTGGGGCTAAATATGACACAGAACTAGCCAGGGAACTGATGTTTACCAAAGCTGGGTGATGGACACATGGAAGTATATTGTACTGTTCTACTTTTTGTTTATGTTTGGAAACTTTTACAATAAAGTGTTTTTTAAAAAGACCATCTAGCTTAGGCACAGCAGCTCGTATTTGAGAGGCTGAGGGAGGAGGACTGCTTGAGGTCAGGAGTTCAAGACCAGGGTGAGCAAGAGCAAGACCTTGTCTCTACAAAATATAGAAAAAGTAGCCAGGCGAGGCAGCCTTATAGTCCCAGCTCCTTTAAAGGTGGAGGCAGGAGGATCTCCTGAGTCCAAGAGTTTGAGGTTAAAGTGAACTATAATGATACCACTCTACTCCAGCCAAGACAGAGTGAGGTTCTACCTCAAAAGAAAAAAAAAATCCAGCTTTTTATATATGTATCAGTCTTCTTTCTGTGCTTTGCTAACTTTGGCTGGGTTGGTAGGCAGGCTAGAGAATCGCTTTGCTACCAATTTCTCTGTTTCATGTGCTGAGCTATGACTTCCCTGCTCTGACTTCATCTGTCCTGAATCATTGCTCTGTTTATATTCTCGGCATTCTTATGAATTAATTTCCTTTGTGCTACCTAGCTATCATGTTCAATTTACTATTTTAAACCAAAAATCCTCCATTCGTTTTTTGTTTTTATCCACATACAAAACACAAGAAGATAGGCTCTTTAGCAGATAGCCCTCCATGTAAAATGTTCCATCTTGCTTCTGTTGGCCTCTTTCTTGTAGTGTTACATTTCTAACCATCTGTTGCTGCCGCCCCACAGAAACTACTGAGAATCATTATTCTGTAGGTGTCTCAGGACATCGAGTATCCTTAAAGTGCTCCCAACCTACACATTTTTCCTGTCTTTGCAAACCAACAAACAGAATATAATAATCTAACTTTTGAATACACAATCAAAAGAGTACCAAATCTCCAGATAGTGGACATTCCAAGAACAGAATACAGAATAAAAAAATCAAGTTTACAATTTCCAGGGAATAAAGGCAAATGAACTTCAGGTGTAAGAAACAAATCCTCCATCTTACAGATATACTCAGTTTGTCTTCGAACTGTTGGCTAATGTACATATGACTTGAAATGAAGACCATACCTTCCCCTGGATTTGTCCACAAGATTTTCTGGAGATACTCTTGCACCTGGTCTTTGATGGTGGACAGACTGAGCCTGGGCTTCTGGGCTGTAACGACTTGATGCTTTAGTCCTCACAGGTGTAGACACTAAAGCAGATGGTGAGTTTTGGAATGTAGAAGTGGGAGGTTGCTGAGGAGTCTGTGAGGAAACTTGATTTCTAGCAAAATCTTGTGTGATAATTTGCTGTGAGCAAGAAAATAAGGTTAAATTAAGTACCTGCTAAAAAAGTGGGATCTAGGCATCTGGCTGGGTGCAGTGGCTCATGCTTGTAATCCTAGCACATTAGGAGGCTATGGTAGGAGAATAACTTCAGGCCAACCCAGGCAACACAGTGAAACCTATCTCTACGAAAAAATTAAAAAAAATTAGCTAGGAATGGTGGTACATGCCCATGGTCCCAGCTACTCAGGAGGCTGAGATGGGAGGGTGGCTTGAGCTTAAGAGTCAGAGGTTGCAATAAGCCATGATGACACCCCTGAGCCCCAGCCCAGATAACAGAGAGAGACCCTTGTCTCAAAAAATCACTCTAATACTAGACTTCTTACCATTTTTTTCTTTCTGTATGAAATCTGCTTTCCATATGATTAAAATAAGAAAAATCACCTAATAAGAATAAGAAAACTTACACAGATGTGATCAGCAAGTGTGATCAGGCGATGGGTCCTGGGTACTTGTCCCACCCCCTCTCCCTGCGAGGAAGGGGGTAGCTGCTGCTGTGGAGAGGGTGATTCCTGCTGGGGTCGATAGTGATGCAATGGTCCTTCATACTGCCTGGTGGGATCGTCTAATAGAGGACAGATAGATATCTTACTCCAGTGTGCCCCTGCCTTTTATTCATTATCAAAGATTAAACATAATTCAGAAGAACACATGAAAAAAATGTTACGTATATCTCCAAATAAAGAACTGACATATCTTCATTTTTGGGAAAAAACAAAAAAAACAAAAACACAAAACTTATTCTCTGACAGAAGTCTGAAGCCCAGTAGAATACAATGTACAGGCTCGGCGCCTGTGGCTCAAGTGGCTA